AGTACCTCTTGTATTATCCTTGATGGAGATAGAGCCCATTCTACTAAGTGAAGTATCACAAGAATGAAAAAACAAGCACCACATGTGCTTATCATCAAATTGGTACTAACTGATGAACACTTAGGCACACACATAGAAGTAATATTCATTGGGTGCTGGGCAGGTGGTGGTGGGGTCGATGGGATGGGTAAATCCCCAACTAATGGGTGCAGAGTGCACTATCTGGGGGATAGGCATGCTTGTAGCCCTGGCTTTGGTGTTGGAAAGGCAATATATGTAACCAAAATGTTTGTACCCCCATAATATTCTGAAATCTAAAAATAAAATAAGACATTCAGAAAAAGAAATACAAAATAACTGCAAATCCAGTTTGTAAAAAAATAAATACCTAAATAAATAATTGTTTTTCCCCAATGGGAAATTGATACAATAAGATTAAGTTTTCTCTAATTCTGTGTGTCTGTGTATGTGTGTGCAAATATGGACCATCTGACTGAAAAACTCAATTAGTTGGCAATAGCTCATCTATAGGTGCTTACAAGGATCTTGGAATCATTGGTGGTACCACTGACATGACATAAAGGTATCCCCAGGCAAATGAGAATACTATTTATGTGCTCTGTAGTTTTAACTTGCTGGTTTATTTTGGGATCTTAATCTGAATCAGCCTTTTGATGTGTAATGAGCCAGTAATATTTCATGTGTATGTAGGCTCTTTCCCCATTGATAGGAAATTGACAGTGAAAATCAGGCTGATTGTCTTGGCTGATTGTCACATCAGATTCCTCTCTGTCTACATTCCCTTCTTAACAGCGGGACACAGAATACCACTTGGCAAATATACCTACACTGTCTAACAGAAAGATGATTTTTTCTAACCCTTTTTAGAATCTGATAGAGTGTAATGTCTCAAGTAGTACCAGATGTAGCAGCAAAATTAATAAATACTCTTCCATGATTTGATATGTGACTGGTGAATAAGATTAACAAGAAAGGAGAATGAATATTTTATAGCTGGTGTCCTGGGTAAAATTTGTAGTCTTAACAGGGTTTCAAGTCTATAAAATTTTGCTGGCTTGCTGTAATGTACCGTACCTTTATTATTTTATTCTAAATTTCTCAATGGGAAAAAAAAACAAAACTCAATTTCCTTGTAACAGTGGTGTTCTATACCTTAGGGAATTAATTCCTAACCTTTTACCTACCATAGCTAGCTTTGTCATGTCCACTAAAATGATTGAATTTAGAAAGAGAATAGAATATCATGCTATACTTAGAGAATGTCACTTCTGTCTACCATGCATTTCTATTTTTCATAATCTAGATATGAAAAATTTTTCATATCTAGATTATGAAATATTTAGGATATTTCAGAAAGTACAGAAAATAATATAAAGAATATCCATGTACTCACAATTTTATCAAATCTTAACGTTTTTCCATATTTGCTTTAAGTGTATATTTTTTAAGAAACTGAGTAATTGAAATCTTCAGTGTAACTTTTAGTCCCTTCCTTCCCAGGGGAACTAATATTCTGAATTTGGTGTTTATAATTCTCTTAAATGGTTGTGCACTACACACACACACACACACACACATATACGTGCTTATACATACAGACACACTTTTAAATGACATATAGCATTATTTTGTGTATAAAGTCTGAAGACTTTTTATAAATGCTGTAACTCTAGAAGTATTATTCCCCAACTTGTTATTATTACTCAATTTCATGTTTTGACATTTATCCATGTTGGTAGATGGGGCCATAGTTCATTCATTTAAATTGTTTATAACATTCCATTGTATGATATGAGAGGTTAGGCAACTGTACAAATAGAGGGTATAGTCCCAACAAGACCACCATACTTCTGACACCAGCTTCAAGTTCAGGCAGTTTGCAAAACCACCCTCAGTTTTCATTTGATAGAAGGACTTACAGGACCCATTGAAAGATGTTATGCTCATAGTTATACTTTATTATAGGGAATAGATATAGATTGAAATTAGTCAAGGGAAGAGTTGCTTAGAATGGAGCACAGGGAGGTTCCAAATGTGAAATTTCCAGTTTTCTCACCATGAAGTCAGAACAGTGTTATTCTCCAAAGGTTGATGTGTACATACACATGAGTACATGTGTACATACACGTGAGTATGGCCAGTGACGGAAGCTCACCTGAGCCTCAGTGTTCAGAGTTTATATTGGAGGTCTATCACATAGGCATGACTGATTGTCCTTGGTCTTGATCTCGGTCTCTAACCTCTCTGGAAGTTGACTGATTTATGCATGACACACAGTCCCTACACTAAATCATATTATTGGTCTTTCTGACATGGCCAGCCCCAACACTAAGACTATTTGGTGTGGCCAACCCTAACCCTGAACCATATTGTTAGACTGGTGACCCAGGGCCCCAGGCAAACAGACTCCTTTCAGGCATGAGATTCCAAGGGCTTAGAGATCACCTTCTAGAAGCCAAAGACCAAGGCTAGACCTCTTTGGGGGCAAGGTGAAATTCTTTACTGCACATGCAAATGTACCACATGTTCATTTATCCATTCTCTAGATGGATATTTGGGTTGTATGATATATAATATAGTACCTATTTAATTTATTTAATTAATGAACACTTATGTAATACCGTGAGCCAGATACTAACTTCTTTAAAATATTAATCCCCAGAAGAACCCTATATGAATAAATTCTATTCTTATTCTACAGATAAGAAAAATAGAATACATGAAAGCTAGATATCAGGGTAACCCATCTAGTATGTAGAATAGGTGGCATATGAACCCAGGCAATCTTGAGCCTTCCTGTAACCACTACAGTATGCTGCCTTAAAATAGTAAAGCAACAAATATTTTTATATACATCTTCTTATACACATGTATGAGGGATTTTCTAAGATCTATACCTAACAATAGGGTTTCAACACTGTAGATGTGTGCATCTTCAACTTTACTAGATACTGCCACATTGTTATGCAAACTGATGTGTAAACATTTAGTAATATACCTGCACATCTCTTTCCCAATTTACTTTCTTTTCTCGTTCAGATGTTTATAATTTTAAAGTACTCCATTTTAAAAATCTTTTTATGATTTTTGCATCTTATTGAAGAAATCTCTTTCCCTGAACTCATAAATATATCCTTTTATATTTTCTTCTAAATGTTTTGCTTTTTATATTGATGACTTTCATCTACCTGGAATTAATTTTGAATATGGTATAAAGTAGGGATATAATTATTTTCCCCACATGAATAACCTTTTTGTCCTCAAATTATTTTTTCAATGGTATATTCTTTACTCACTTGTTTGTAATGCCACTTCTGTCATAATCACTTCCATGTATTCATGAGTCTTTCTATTAATTTCCTATTGCTGCCATAGCAAACTTAGTGACTTAAAACAACACAAGTTTATTATCTTACAGTCCCAGAAGTCAGAAGTTTAAAATGAGTCAGCCAGGATGCATCTTTTTCATGGCTTTAGCAGAGAATCTGTTCCTTGCTTCTTATAGCTTCTAGAGGCTGCCTGCATTCTGTGGCCTGTGCCCCTATATCCAGCAGTGGCATCAGTCTGACATCTGTCCCCCTCTTTACGTCGTCTTCTCTGATTTTGACCTTCCTGCCTCTGTCTTTTAAGGATATTTGTGATTCTGTTGTACCTACCAGGATAATCCCCCCATCTCAAGATCCTTATATTTAATCCCATCCGTAAAGTCCTTCTTGTTATGTACTATAACATATTCATAGGTGCCAGGGATTAAGATGTGGACATCTTGAGAGGGTGAGGGACATTATTGAGCCTACCATAGTCATCTTTCTGGACATTCAGTTATTCTTATGTTTTTGATTCATCCATTTTAAGCATACTCATTTTATAATCTCAGTCAGATAGTTGTATCTGAGTAAAGTTTGGGGAGTTTGTTGTTGTGTCTGTTAATTCTCACTCAAGGTAAGATATGTTTCTTCATGTGTTATATGATTTTAGATTATAAACACATCATCAAGGGACTCTATCTGTGGCCATTTTATGTGGCCTAGGTTGAAGTCTCATCCCACTGGAAAGCTTTAGCAGTTTCTTCTACCAAGTCTCCAGGGGTGCTACTCACTGACCCAGAGCTGCTCTTCATGATATTTTATTGATTAAGGGGTTTTTGGATTATGTAGTAGTGTAATTTCAAACCCTCAACCTGTATGAGGAAAAACCACTGGTTACAAATACAGAGATGTAATCTTCCTCCAACTAGGGCTTAAGATGAAACAGGGATATTTTTTGTTTGTTTGTTTTCTCCCTCTTTTAATAAATGGATTTCTTTCCTATATCACCCTTTAACTGAAATATAGCCCTTTAAGGATTCAGATGTTTATAGGAGAATATCTCCTTTTCTACTCTGTGTCTTGTTTGGATTTAAAGGTTTCCCCTCTCACTACATGGGCATTAAAACCTAAGCATTTAGATTACTACTGGGATAGGCAAACTCCTTAGAGCTTCTACTGCATTAACTTATATGCTTACTGCTCTAGTTTTCAGTCCCTAGTTTAGTTTTGGCTACTGGAGATTTTTCTTTCTTTTATGGTAAGTAAAATCTCCAGTAGTCTCCCAAATTTATTCTCTGTTTGGTTCTTCCTTCACACTTCTTTATGGTGATTTCTGTTAGATGTTTCATGCATTGCCTCTTGCATCTTTTTGTGGTCTATGTACCTTAGGTAGTCAGGAGCTAATTTTGTGGGGGGATATTTAACCCCTGCTCAGGGACACTTTCAGTTTGGTCACAGTTTTAGGGATCAACATTTTATTATTAACAGTAGCACCTCTGCTGTGTCAAGATATTATTAATCTTCCCTCTGAGAGATTCTTAATACCATGATAGAGAAAATAATTACCAAAATGCTTTTTCTATAATATCAGTTATTAAATATAAGATACTTAAAATTCTTTTACCTTAGTTTTCAACCAAATTATCATAATTGTCATTTTCTTATTCTCAGGATGTGTGCTGTGTTTGGTGGAATCTATTGTCTTCGCCATTCAGTACAGTGCCTTGTAGTGGACAAAGAATCCAGAAGGTAAGGATGATAAGTAGCCTTCTTACACCTCAAACACAGGTGAAAAATGCTAAAGTCTATTAAAAAAAATGATTCTTCAAAGATCCTCCTTGGTATTAATAACATATCAACCTTGATTAAAAGTAATTTGTGTTTAGGTCCTCCAGAACAAGCAAAGTGAGTTCAGAATATAGAAACTAAATTAATTTCCCTGCAATATGACTGTAGTTCCTGATCATCCAAGCTTGGAAGACAAATCATTTCAGCTGCCGGGGGTGGGTGATGAGTGATGTTAGTTTTCCTTGTGGCCTTACCTTCTCTAATTGATTTTCATCAGATGACAACAAAGCCCTCTGTTATTACATTTTTAAAAATGGAGCTCACCTAAAGACTCATCAGATTAATCTCTGCTGATAATGCATGTCACTCCAAGAGAAAAGAGTTTAATGAGTTTTTAGGTAGATTGTTGTCATAAACTATGCTGCCCTCTTATCTGCAGATAAGTTCTTTTACAGCAGTATCAGGCCTACAAACTGGTTTAAGATTGAAATAAGAATTTACGTTGTTTTTTTTTTTTTTTAAAAGCTGAGCACATCTATTTATCTCTGTTTTTTATATTTCAGTTATATTTTTCTAAGGTTTATTATTTACTAAGATATGTGTTTGTCTGAATTATACTAAATGAAATATTCTACAATTTCTAGATTTCATATTGAAACTTAAGGTCAACTGGATCAAGTTTTGGGAGCTGTTTAAATAGTTGTTTTTCTTTTTTTGTTACATGTTCTCAATCATCTATTGACCTTGGATGACTATTTTGGGGGGTTTGTAAATAAATAGTATTATTGAAGTCATAAAATACATTAGTATCTTGAACTGGAAGCTTAAATAATATAAATTTTAAATTGCTTTTTTCATTTACAATAACGTATAGTCTAAGTGGCATAAAATGTCTATTAACTTCTCATAGACTAGTTATAGTGTAATAACTAGTATTTTGGGTATGGTGAAGAAAAAACTCTAGAAACATGTAATATCTAGTGAACTTGCTTTAGAATTGTAATTCTGTAGTGTAAGAAGATAAAATTGACATACGGTTTAAAAGACTTTTAAAGTACCTTTAGCTCTTTAACAGAAAAATACTACATAAATGAAACATGCTAACCTAGGGTGAAAAATCTTTCCCTAAAAGCCCAGGATATGCTCCTTCTAGATCTTGGCTCATGGTGAGCTCTATAGAAAGTCCTGAAGGAATATAGTTGTCTTTATGATGCCTAGAGCCATTTCTCCTTAAGAATTTATTTTGAAGCAAGACTGTTCCCATGACTGAGACCCAAATAATAAATTGCTTGTTTGGTGCTTATTTGCTTAGATCCTTTATGGGCCCCATTTCAGTCTCACGTGTTACTCTCAGTGAAATGAAGAATTTGCATGGCTCATATTTGTTTTTTTAAAAAAATCAGTATGCTAGTACAGGAATTGCATTTATTGAACTCAGGGCTACATTTGCTTTACTTTTGACCTAGTTTTTATGACATAGTCTAAACAGAGGAACTCTTTTTATTATGTGGTACACATTCTAGTTATAACAGATAGCTGAGGGCTAAAGATCTAGTGAACAAAAATATCTGTGGACTGGTAATTTTCAAACTTTCATGCCTGTAAGAATTACCAGATAAGCTTGTAAAAACTGCAGATTTTGGTGTCTCACCCTTAGAATGTGAAATTGGGTAATATGCTTAGGGTGAAGCCAGGAAATTTGCAGTTTTAAAGAGTACCCTAAGTGAATCTAATGTAGGAAGTCCTTAGATGACACTGAGAAACACTGTAAAGTTGAGGCTTTAGCTAAGGGTATTGTTTTCAATGATAGACTGAGGGCTCTAGGTCTTAATTCAGTCTAAGGCCTTATCAAAATGAACCTGCCAGATATACTGGCAATCAAATATGAATTTTATATAGGTAGACTGTTTCTAATATGACATTTCTTTTATATTTTCATAGAAAGACCTCAAGCATAACATTTGTTGTTTAACAGCTCCTAAGGCATGAGTAAAGGTCAGAAAGTCCTGGGATGAAAGAAGACTTGGAATTCCATCAGTGCCATGAATGATAGTAGGCACATCCTTTTCTCTGGGCCAGTTCCTTTATCTGTAAGATGAGTGACATGGACTCTGCAGTAATCTACAACTCTCTTTCCAAATTTGACATGCTTTGGTTGAGTTATTTAATGTTCTTAAAAAATACTTTTCCTTAATATTTAGAAATAAATGATCTTAAAATATTTTATATCCCCAAATATAAGCCATTCTCACATATTGGCTAATTTTCATTCCTAGTCAGAAATTCAAAAAAATTGAACAACTTGTATGTGTCTATTTTTATGAATATAAATAGCACAATGTCTATTTGTCTATTATATATTATATATTGTGTATTATATATATTATTACATTAGTCGAACTCAGTTTTCCAGTGAACATCATCTTCTTGTCCATCTTGATTTTTTTTTTGAAGATACAACCATTTTGAATTCTATATATGAATTTCTGTAATAGGACAGTTTTTAAAAGGACCTACATTCATAATATGCCTAGTATCTACTGTATTCTCACTATACTGAATTGCTTAAATGATCTTTAAGTTTTAAGAGAAAAGCAATACTTGAAAATTCTACATTAATCTCCAGTAATGATAACCAAATTTATATTAATTTTTGCCTCTTTAAAAAAAAATCTATCAAGTCAAAGGGTCTCTATAAACATCTAAAGCTAGCATTGATTTGGGTTGGCTCAAGTTAATGTATCTTTCCCAAACACTACTTTGTCATTCAAAATCAAATAATTGAGAGTGATACCAGTAATAGGATGTATTTTGTCAGGACTTGAATATAAAATGAGGGATAGTTTTTTGCAGGAAAAACCTTGACCTTATAGTTGGGCATATCCAGCATACATTTCTTTTCAAGGAGTCTAGGTTGAATTAGACAGTTGTTTATTTTAAGTAAAATTAGACTATTAAGTAAGGAATCTGCAGAGATTTGCATTTGTCCCCTTATAGTTTTAGTTTGCCTTTCTTTCCCAAGTTTTCTATGTGGAACACGTGACATCTCCTCCTTTAATGTAGTTAAGAGCTACTCACATTTATGTCAAAGTTCTAAATATATATCCTAATTCCACAGACTAGATCTGCAGTCCCTAACCCCTGGTCTGTGGTCTGTTAGGAACTGGGCCACACATGACAGGGGGTGAGTAACAGGCAAGCAAAGAAACTTTATCTGTATTTATAGCTACTCCCCATCACTCTCTTGCATCACTGCCTGAGCTCTGCTTCCCACCCATGAAATTGGTCCCTGATACCAAACAGGTTGGGGGACACTGGATTAGATCACAACTCTCTGCCAGCCCCGTCAGGTCCTCTTATATGATTATTTGATAAGTTAGTTCTCTGTAAGAAACGGCGGAATCTCACTATTAAATCTCCAGAGCCAAGGCAGCTTTCTTATACTCAATAACTTTAAGTTAAATGAATGAATGGAGATTAAAGATTAATTAAAGCCTTTTTGGTGCATTCTACCTTCCATTTAGGAAAGCTGATAAAAGCATAAATGATCATGGCATTCAATTTAATGTGGTACTTACACACCAAAATACTGTATAAACTTTGAGAAAAGAAATAGGGCATTGAGGAGGCACATGAAATAATGGTATATGGAATATATAACCAAATGCATACTTGTTTGCAGCTAGATGTTATTTTTCATTTTTGTTTAATCCATTAGCTTTGCTTTCTTAATTTCAGAGGACATAGGTATGTATCAGTGGTTCTTTTATATACCTTCTCACTAAATTCTAATACTGCAGTCTTCTGTTGACTGCTTTTAGAAACACCAAATGCTCTTGTTGAATAGCTGTCTTTTCCTTTGCAGCTACGCTGACCAGGTAAAACTCCTGTAAATTAGATTTGGCCAATTATCTATATCATATTTGACATTAGGGTAAGGTAGAGATAACTTTGGACCAGATATGCCTGTAACCAATAATCCTAATAGAATTACTTCAGCTAGTGTTCCCTGAGTGCTTCAACTGTCTCACTTACTAGATTTCCTACTATAGAAATCTTGGAGATATCTTTTTCTGATGTCAGGAAAAGCTATGCCTTTTCCAGATACTTGGAAGTTAGTAATGAATAGTATATTAGACCAAGCATGACATGACTGACTTTCAATACCATTTGTTGTTGTGGAAGCTCTGATTTTAGTATGCCCCATTTGCAAAATGGTAGTGATCATATTCTAGATATTTAACCTCTGCCAACCCCCATGCTAGTTGCTATGGGGGTAAAATGGTGAATGAAGCATGGACCCTGTCCTTGTGTGCAAAGAGAATACGGTAAAGAGTGTAGCTCTAAAGTCAGACAGATTGGATTTGGATCTTTGTCACTTACTAGCTGTATGAACTTGAGCAAGTTGTATAACTTCTCTGTGACCCAGTTTCTTTATCTACAAAGTGAGACAACTGACAGTACTTACCTCACAGGATCATTATGAATATTAACAGATAATGCTTGTGGAGCCATTTGTTATACATTGCAAGAGCTTAGTGTATATTATCTAATAGCAATTATTAATGTAATTGGAAACCTTAGAATCTACTGAAGACAGACTTACTGTGAATATCCTTCTGTGCTGCAGTAAGGTGTTTGGATTATAATCAGTGGTAGTTTTATTTTATTTTATCTTTTTATTTTTTTTTTTGAGACAGAGTCTGACTCTGTCACCCCAGCTAGAGTGGTGTGACATCATCATAGTTCACTGCAAGCTCAAACTGCCAGGCTCAAGCAGTCCTTCTGCCTCAGCCTACCAAGTAACTGAGACTACAGGCACACACCACCATGCCTGGCTAATTTTTCTATTTTTATTTATTTATTTTTTTTTATAAATGCAGGGTCTCACTCTTGCTCAGTCTGATCTCAAATTCCTGACCTCAAATGATCCTCTTACCTCAGCCTCCCAGAGTGCTAGG